AAATTTATTTATGAATATCACAAATTTTTGTTAATTCAAAACAATTCAATATCGAAGGAATTGTTGTCATAATATCGTATTTTATAATTACACCCGGATGTATTTTGAAGAAACTGCTCAAAAACCGTATTAATTTTTTCAGGGTCATTCAAACTACTATGTTTATAAAAGCGCTACAGTAAGTATGTTTTAATTATTCTGCCATTAAACTGTCATTCATTTCTCTTTGCTTTTGCGTTACGAAAAGTTTATAAAATGACAATTGGTGAAAAATGACAACAAAATCTAGTTATCGTGGTCATAAGAAAGAACAATAATTTGATTGTGCAAAGTTTACTTACGCCAATGGTCGACAACGAAATTTAACGCAACTGGATGGAATTTTATTACATTTCTGAAATAGTCTATAGGTACTTACTCTTTATGCGTAGTAGGGAACAGCCACATGGTATGCACTAAAAACATGAGCGATTATTAGTAACGATTCGTCTATCAGACTAAAGACAACACGTAGAACTGAGAGTTTATTTGATTACAATTTAGAACGCAACTAGTTTTATTTTGCATTTTCATCAAACGTTGCTCGTCGTCACGAGAAAAATACACTTACCCATCAACAAACCGATGTGCGTATTCAAACGTTTCAAATACCACAACTTTTAACCTTTAAGAGATGCCTGGCTGGATAGTTTCGATCGGATTTGTTTTGAAACAAAACAGACAGTCGGATTTAATTTTCTTTACTGCCAACGTAAGTTCGCTAGTAAATGCACATCTACATTTTATTTAGATTAGACGCATCAGGTATAGTTCGCGGAATATGCAGTCCTATAGTCTATTTAAGAAACGTATGGAGTAACAAAATGGGTAATTCAGTCCAGTTTCACTCATCTATGACCTATTGGTGATAGAATTCTTGAACTGAGGTGGCTTTTACTTTATGAAAATTCATTTAACAAAATAAATAACAACTAAAAGTTGAGATTTCCACGAAATTATATATTTTCATCTACACTCCGGGTCGTCTCCAATGCCTAGCAAGCAAAGATGCCTCCTAAGCCTGCAATGTCCTGTGTAGGCCCCTGTTAGTGCTCTACACTCCCTTCTGGTCAGTCTAAGCAGCTCCCTGGTCCGAGGAAGGGCGGGCCCATCCATCATAAGCCTCGCCTGCCTCATTCCCGGAGCAACTCTCCAGCCCCCCGCGGCCCGGTCTCTCGCCCAGGCTTCGAGAGCTCCCCGCCTCACACACGGGGCGATCGCCAAGCGGAGCTCTGGCCCTATATGCCTATGCGAGGAGCCCTCCCCGGCTAAAGCGTCCGCTGCCTCATTGCCCCGGATACCGGTGTAACCCGGGACCCAGACCAAGGTGACCTTTCTCTCTTCAGCCACCCTCCTCAGTACCCCTTTGCACTCCTTTATCAACAAGGAGCGCGTACGCACTGACTTCAGCGCCATGAGTGCAGCCCTACTATCCGAGCAGAAGAAGACTCTCCTGCTTCTGTAGTTGAGCCGAAGCACCTCTCTGGCCGCCATCAATAAAGCGAAAATTTCCGCCTGAAACACAGTGCAGTACTGACCCAGAGGGACCGACAAGCTTGATCCCGTTGTCTCGCAGTACGCTCCAGCTCCGGCCAGATCTCCCATTCTGGACCCGTCCGTGTACCAGACAAGTCCATCCCAGGAACCGACTTTGCCCTCTCTCCAATCTTCCCTTGATGGAAAGAGAAAGGTCAATTTATCAAAGAAGGTCATCTCGGGCATCATGACGTCACCCGGCATGCCCATGACCCCGCGATCCCCGCGACAGCCCTCTAAAATGTCGTACGGACCCCGATTGAAGGTTCCCTCCCTCCAGAGCCCGCAGCTCGCCAGCCTCACAGCTGTCCTGGCCGCCTCCATCTGCACCCGATCCGCCAGAGAGGGCAGCCCCACCAGAGCCTCCAGGGCCCTCGTGGGCGCCGTTCTCATGGCGCCCGTTATGCAGAGGCAAGCCAATCTCTGCAGTCTGTTAAGAACTAGCCTTGCTCCCGCACTTTTGGTCCAAGGCCACCATGCCACCGCCCCATGCGTGAGCATAGGCACCACCATGGTACCGTAGATCCACTGCATGATCTTCGGCCCCAGGCCCCAAGTGCCCCCTACCGCTCTCCGGCACGCCCACAGAGCTCCAAAGGCCGACCTGGTCCTTCAGACATTTAATTTTAACCTTAAGCCAAAAATCAACGGTTCACTATATAGTTGTTTGGTAATTTACAGTTTTACAACATTCACAACAGACATATAGAATATGTAAATCGACAAGCCGCATTGATAAGACGACGAACCAAAACAAACATTGTTTTGGATTTCGTCTGTGAGTCTCACCGATCTGCAGATCAGAGTATTGGCAACCCCCTGGATTTGACTAGGGTGATGGTGCGATTGTGCATTCAGATACCTATCGGTGTGAATAGCTTTGCGATATACTTGATGTTGCAGTTTTCTCCCTTCTGATCGTGTCGAAAGGACGTCCAGAAATGGTAGTTGTTTGTCCTTCTCCTTTTCTATGGTGAACTCGATTCTATCGTATAAAGAATTGAAGTAAGTTAGAAAATGATCTAGTTTAGCCTCCCCGTGCAACCATATGATAAAAATGTCGTCGACGTATCGGATCCAGAGCTTCGACTTGAGTTGACTTTCTCGGATCGCTTGAGCTTCGAAATAGGCCATGAACAGGCTTCCTATCGCTGGCGAAAGTGATGACCCCATTGGGGCGCCATCTGTTTGTCTATCGAGCTGACCGTCTATCTAAAATACGTGTTCTTTAGGCAGTGCTATATATATATATATATATATATATATATATATATATATATATATATATATATATATATATATATATATATATATATATATATATATATATATATATATATATAAATGACAACAAAACCTAAATTAAAGTTGTGAGAATTTAATTGTAATAATGGAGAGGTATTTAAATCTAATTGATCATTAAGCAATACATTTGAATGTCTCATTTTGTTAATCTCCATGGCTTCCAATAAATTTAATTTTCTACTTTTTGTGGCCGTATGTAAAATATCAAAATTGTCGTCAAAAATGTGTTTTTCTGTGTTTCAATGGGTAGCATAATTAGAATCTAGACTATTGTTTTTAAACGCTCTTTTATGTTTTTTAATGCGTTTCTTGAAGCATCTACCTGTTTGTCCAATATACATCTGATTTTTTAAAAAAATTTCCTATTGTGTTGTTAGTTCTCAAAGCTATTTTGAAACCACATTTTGATAAATGTTTTGAAACTTTTTCACTGGGTTCTCCTATGTATGTAATTGTTTTAAATTGTTCGTGTTCCTGTATTAGGTTTCGGATAAATAAAGTTTACTGTTGTCTGGATTTGTTTTTTATTTATAATTTTATCGATAATGGACGGATTGTAGCCGTTGTTCAGTTCAATTTTAATGAAATTAAGTTCTTTGTTGTAATTTTCTGTTGAGAGTGGCGTACTAAGAAGCCTTAAAAGAGTGAAATGTGTGAAAATTTCTTTGTATAAGCGTGATTTGAGCTGTTATGTATGACTATGTCTGTGTGTGAAGGTCATATGTATTTTTTATATAGATAATCCACCTTACCTTAAATTTCATTTATCGTTATGGCTAATGCATGAAAGGCCTCTTGGAAAACAGATTCTTGTACATTGTAATTATGGATTAGTTGATGCTCTTTACAATTTTTCTAGATTTTTGCTGCGTCAGTTGTTGTATTTTTAACGTAGTGTCGGTTCGGATTCAACCGAAAGTTGTTTATTTCAAATAGAACACTCGGTATTGTGTATTGAGATTCTGTGTGAAATTCTAGGCATATTTTATGCAGAATGAAAAAAGAAATTGCACCTCCGACTAAAAACAAAATAAATAGTTTTTTTATTTGCTGTTTACTTTTATACAGGGTGTTCAATAATAGGCCGTAAACATTCACATTTTCGGGTTTTTCAAATGGGAAATCCTGTAATTTTGTGTGTAAGCTCCGGACTTGATTAAAAAAGAACGAGTTTAGCCACTTTGAAAATGTGAATTTGTTTTTCATGGTAAAATATTTCAAACGCGGTTAGACATAGATAGAGGACATTATATATAAAATATATTTATAATTTCACACAGAATCTCAAAATGTAATAATGTACATAGTCTTCCATTTGAAATAAGCAAGCGACAATTACATCTCATTAAACTTTTAATGAACGTGTTGGGTAAAAAACGTTGTACAAGCGAAACGTCACCAAGTTCGATTTATTAATAATCGAAGCAGGATTAATCCAGAAGTTTTGTAAATAGTGTTACAGTAGCATGTAGAAACTACTTTGAAACAAAAATTATGGAATGGTTGACGTTTTTTGAAGTATGGGTAAAAGGTTTGGTTTATGTCTCGTGATATACTTATGTTTAGGTGACGAGTGAATAAACGGATCTCTGTTTTTGATTACAAAGGAACAAAACAAGTATACAGCTATATCAATCCAAAAATACACTTTTTCTACAAAAGCAAATTCCTGGCAAAATTGGAACAGATGCTCCAAAAAAGGGTCCATATCCCAGTTTATCTCATTCCTAGCAATTACCCTCAGCGTATTTAGCTAAGCCCAACTGGAGACGTACTGATCAAAAGTATCAAAAGTCTGAGTCTGTATAACATTCGCCTGTATTTTATTAGCGTCTTTCCCACAATGCACTGGACAAATACATTGTGCAGTAGGTATTAGTTGCAACTTGATGTATTTAAAAAAAGGTTAGGTATTCACTTCAATTTAATTTTGGGTACAGGTAAATTTAAATTTAACTGTACCTAAATCCTAAATGATTGTAATACGTAACAGGTCAACGAAACTGTCCAAAAAGTCAAGAAGTTAGGGAAAATTGAAAGTGATCGATAAATGTAAATGCTTTATCTATGTTGTAGTTGGCCTTGTGCTTATTGTTCAACAAATAATCTGTTGGTTTCAGAAGCATTTTCCGAAGAAGATACCGAAACTGGTCTAGAAACGCAAGCGGATTATATCCCTGCCAATGGAGTAGATTACGTTTAAATTTGAAGTTTTTGTTCGACGTTAATTATTTTGAGTGATTAGGATGTGACTTTTTTGTATCATTAATAAAAGGTTTGAGTTATCACAGTTATTTTGGGAAATATATTTAGGGTACAAAGAAATAAAATAAAAAGTAACATTTTGGATATGGGAGTTTGTTTATAATTGTATTAAATACATATTTAATTCAAGTCTTTTGCTATACCAAATAAGAGCTGTGAGAAGCTCAATTTTTCAGCTAAACCCTTAAACCCAATAGTTAAAATCTAATCGAAAGTTAGTAACCTTAAAAGTAAATTAGGCAAACGCCATTATTATCATGAATTCTAGGGACTATCAAGATAAAATGAATTTAATAGAGATCTGACTTTTTCGATAGAACTTAAAATTAAATGTCAGTACAGCTTCATCTCTTCCGGAATTCATAAAAAAGGCGGTCAATAGTTCAAGACTCTAATATTCCTCGACTCTACTATCTTAACAAAATTCACAAGACAAATCTACAGCTTCGTTACCCTAAGTCAGCACCCTCGGTTCACCAACGTATGCTTTAGCAAAATATTCAACCTTAATTTTAAAACCATTCACAGGAAAAGTTCCAGCTTTGCACTTAATTGTTAAGACCTAAAAATGACTAAGGTATATCCAGACTATATTTTAGTCAGGTTTGACATTGAATCTCATTGAAAGTTCCTGTTTCTGAAACACTAAGCATCATCTTAAACATCTCTTGTTTGAAAAACTAGCCATTGGTAAGTTCCATCGAAACCCGAAACTGTGGAAGAGATATGTAGATGACGTTTTCTTTATCTGAACAGACAATCAGGAATCTCTTCAAACGTATTTGAATTACCTATACTCCATACACACAAACCACAATTTCATATTCGATTTACAAAATAACACTCTCTCCTGTCTAGATATCCTTATTTTTGATGAAGGCTTAAACTCGGGTCATTCCGTCTATAGAAAATTACATCATCATCCAAGCAAACATCCTCCGAGCAATATCTTTATCTCAGCTAAAATCTCAACCAGGAATTAACACATCTCACCTCACCAAAACAACTTACTAGAATAACTTCGTAGATAACCCCTCGTAAACTGACAGGAATTTTGTTTGTCAGTTTTGAAATCGTTATTTATGGTTATAGTGGCAATACGGCTAAAATATGCTGATCATTTTTTGATTACGTCACTATACGTGCTGTAACTGCACAACTGCTTCGACCGGAGTATAATACTTCCATATGTTCAATATGTCATATATCAAATATCATAAACTCTGGAAAACCAGCATCTAAAGTAAATTCCCGACACATCAGCACACCAAAGATTCCATCAGTCTTCGATAATTGTCGAGCGACACATTTTTCCACCAGTCTTGCATTTGGGATTTGGTATTTCGTTAAGCATTAGAAAGTCCTTCCACAATTCGACCGTCCCCAGCAGCAGGAGCGTGCAGGGCAATCATCAAACCAGATTCAGATAGCGCTCTGAAAAAGCCAGCAGCATCTTTTGCTTGAAAGGGGTAGACAATGATTCAATAGGAATACTAAGAAATTGTCGAACATTCATTGCCTTTATTTTTTGTTTACACAACGTTTCGAGCAGACGTATCATTACCCGTTATCAAGTGTAGCAGAGAAGACGAAGATCAAGTTAACCAAAGAGGAAGCCCATATGAACTTCTTATGTACGGCGAGGAACAGAGCACGACGCATACTGAAAAATGCTAATCGAGCACTGATACGATCCCAAATTAACTATCGTAGTCCACTATCAAAAATCGGTTCGTGGATAAACGAACTGACTTGGAAGGAAGACCATATCGAAGATCGATGGAGCCTGTTCCAAAATCAGAGAAGGACTTCAAAGGAATCATGGGAGGAGGCTGCTCAAATTTGAAAAACAACTTTTTTGGAGAAGAGAAAAAAGAGGACGACGAATACTACCAAAGAAGAACAAGCAGCCATCAAAGACTCGCAAAAGGATATGAACATCAATGACATAGTCATCATGGATGTTAAGGAATACCATCATAAAATCGAGGACACGCTTGCCAAAGGCAAATACGGACTACTTTCTAGGACGATTGAAAGAAGAATCTATCGAGCACTGCATAAATACTGCATCATACTAAACCACTATATGTATGTGGATTTCCAAAAATCCACAGGGATAATGTATCACGCAGACATATCAACAGTTCGCGGGACTCCGCAACCAGCAGTTTACGTAGATTTCTCTTTCCAATCGTCCAGCGACTTATGAGAAAAACAAACTTCTGGTATTTTGCAAGTATTTAAAAAAAAAGTAAGTGTACATTATATGGTTTTATTCTCATGCCATAGATTGTTAAACCTAGGGTCTGACTTCGATATGTTGACACTCCTTTCTCGCATAGCATTTAAATTTAGAATCTAATCATTCTGAAGTAACCAAACTAGGGATCATTCAAACACAATAGAGGAATCACAAAATACAGTGACATAGCATTAGGCAGTCTTAAAAAAGGTTTTCTTCACAACACTCAAAAATGTATTTATATATTTTTACATACACTTAATTTTTGATTGCGCCTAGGTTTCTAAAAACCCGTATGCGCTTTCTTAAAAATAATTATGTTAACACTCTATACTACCCTCTCACCCTATTATATAAACTAACATAACTAACATAACATAAGATCAGTTCCCGCCCAACAAGTTCAACAAAATAATAAAAACAAAATAAACCAAACACAAAATAAAGTTCCCTATTTTGTGTAATGTAGGCCCCAAATTTTGAAAATTATTTTTATAGAATTCACTTCCAGGCATCGGTTCCTGTTCTTGTCTATTCATTATTGCTATAGTGGTATACAGATCATTGATTGGGTCTAAAGAGACTTTATTTTGATAAATATAACAAACAATATAAATATATAACCATCTAACATCACAAACCTTTTCCCTATAGAGAAGATTTGTTGGATATAAATGATGTTTTTTGTACATCACTTTAAGGATTCTATTCTGAACCACATGCAATGGTCTCAATGCAGTACTGTACAGCCCCCCTCCCCCTATCTAGGCTATTATCGCATACAGCAAAATCGACTCTACGAGACTATAGTATAGTATAAACAGAAGTTGCTCAGTTAGACATTGCCTTAGTGAATAAAATTTGAATATTAAATACCTTAGCTTTTTTGTTAAGAAGTTAACGCGACTCTCCCATTTCAAATTTGTATCAATATAAATACCCAAGTATTTTACAGATTTTGCTTCCAAAATTTGTTCATTTCAATTTTCCACACGTTTATTTTTAAAAGTAGGACGATCAACAATAGTTTTTGAAAAAGCCATATAGTTAGTTTAATCTACATTCAGAGAGAGTCTGTTGCAGTCTAACCATTCTTTTACCGCCGGTTGCCTGGGCTCTCGCCCCATCTCAGCTATCACTGCTAAAGAGCAAAACAGTATCATCGGCGTATGAGACAAATCTTCCCTTTATATCTAACAATGTTAGTCGCTTAATATACAGATTGAAGAGTGTCGGTCCCAGTACTGTGCCCTGCGGTATGCCTACATGTATAATTTCAGGTTCGCTTATTGCATCTCATCATTATCAAATTGTAAACCTAAAACAACAGCAACGATGTGACGTAGGTTCTCTCATTTTAAGTTAAGTTAAGTTAAGAATGTATTCAGCCGGGATGATATTAAGGAGCATGCTTACAAGAACAAAGCCAGACACGTCGACTCAAGAGAAAGTGTTTAGTTCAGTGAGACAGAATGAAAACGTAGTAAAAAAAATAGTTTTCCACATAATTTTATTTTAAGTTCATAATTTATTTTTAAACTAGGTTTTTACGCCTCTATAGTAATAAACCTCTAATTGGTATATTAGGCAGAGACGTAACTACACGTCGAAAAACATCAACAGCGCAGGCATACGAAAAACCTCTCGACTGATCGTCCTTTTTCCAATGGAGCCACGTGATTCTGTCAGAGACGTCGTCACAAATTGTCGTATAATTCGCGAGATACGGATTATTCACTCCGATCATCACGAGTCCCCTCTCGGTAATTGGATTGTACGCCACCTTCCAGTACACTGATGGCACTGGTAGCGCTTTGTTGTTATTCCCATCCACGTATAAGTACAACTCTACCGGAAGTCCAGTCTTTTCGTGAGGCAACGTGGTTACTCCATAGACTCCGGTCCACACTTGCAAATTAACTCCGTTTTCTTCAGCGTAATCTCTGATGTCTATCTCGACTTGGTTCCAGTTGAGACCGTTGAAAGTTTGCCATTGCGGGGCTATGTTCATCATGTAAAACGTAGCGTTTTGCTGAGCGGCATAGTAGTGATCACTTCGAGCGCTCATATGGCCTCGCGACAAGTAGTAGTTGGTGTCGTCCTGGATATATTTGGTGGAATTGAGATCTAGTCCTAGTAAAGTGTTGATGGTGCTCCTTTGACTGTTCCTCACATAATAATTGGTCACGGTACCGACACTATAGAACCCTGAACCTTGCAACCACGAAGGTCTGGGTGTATTGAGAACCCTTTGGTTAATAGCGGAGGTCATATTGTGAAAAGAATATAAGGCTATCTGGCTGGTTTCGTTGAAACAGACACTTAGGGACTTTAAGAAACGGCCATCTCCCACCTCGAAGCCGATTTCTATGTCCGCGCCACCATTTTCACACGTCAGACCAGAACGTCTCGCAGTCTTCCACGGATAGTTGTTACACGATATTTCTTTCCAAAGTATCTCCTGTCCATTTATCAAAAATGTATCGTCTCTTACGCAAGTTCCGGGCAGATACGCGTCACTAGTTTTCGTCGATCCCAATAGCAGATTTCTTCCCGGGCAGAGGAAGTCCAAAGCTTGTCCGGACGTGAATTTCAGCGTTTTTTCAAACGGTGCGGGGTATAAAAAGTCACTGGTGCCGGAAAAAACCACAAGCGGGGATGGATCGACTTCGAATGGATAAATCTCACAATCTGGAAATAAAAATGTGTCTTTAGAGCTGCGTTGCGAGAATACCGGTAATATTTTTTTTTCATTTAAACATCACTTCATTAAATATTAGACAAATTACGCGCAATGGATGAAGCGGGCTACAATATCGCCCAAGGACCGATTTCAAAAAATTGAGATTCCTAACCAGCTTAGAATATTAGCATGGAATGTCATTGGATTACTAAGGCATTAGCAACAGTTGCAACTAGTTCTGGAAAAGTTGACGTTTTTTCATTTCACTAAGAAGACATATATCAAGTTCAAAATATACAAGGTATACAACACTATCGACCCGTACACTGACGCTCAAAGCGGTATTGTAATTATTATTAAAGAATCCATAATACACCATCAAGAGCTTTCAAGCGGATAGGATACAGGCAACATCTGTTACAGTGAAACATTCTATTAAAGAAGAAAAGTACCTAAGCTTCATGAAAATCAAGTATATCGATTCATCGTAGGAGATGAACAATGCGACTATTTAGTTATTCAAAAATAAGAGAAAAGATTCTGGGTAATTTATTATTACCTAGAGTAGTAGAACAGGTAAATATAATTTTACAAAAGGTATATCCCCGACTCCACATATTTTTATTCATTTCTTTATTTATCAACGGGCCAACCGCCCAATATTCACATAAACAAAATACTAAAAACAAAATAAAATTAAAATAGATAGATAAAGATCCAACCCTAATGCGACTAACATTGGTTTTCCAAAATATTAAAATTAACATAGTAGCAAGGCACCAAGGCAATGTTATACAGTACTAATCAGATGACAGACAACGGAACAGTTTTACTGACGTTCTTTAAGTTCTTTCTTAAATATTCTTGCACCCTGGAAACAGTCAAGTTGGTCCGAAAAGCAATTTGCTAGTGAGACTAAATTAGTAAGAAAAAAACTTTGCCGATAGTTACTACGATGGAACTCTACCTGGAAGGAGTGGTTTATTCTGGTCTGGTCAATCTTACATAACAGCTCAGGTCCATGAGAATTTGAGTGCAGTAGATTATAAAAAATGGTGAGATCCCTATGCATGCGACGAATCTAAATAGTTGTAAGTTGGAGAGAGATTTCCAATTTCGAGTAATCGGAAGGAGCACCAAGTCCTTGGTGCTCCTTAAATGCTATATGCTGCAGGAACCTATGCTGCACTCTTTCTATAGCCTGTACGTGGACGTTATACGGGGGAGCAGAACAGAATCTCATAGTCGGGATACTCTGGAAGTCCACTGTACAACGCTTAATGTGTGTAAGTCAATTTAATATCGAGTAACACTCCCTTATTACGGAGGCCTGCGGTAATGGTGACATTTACTAATATTTAGTTCCATTCTATTCAAATCGCACCATATCGATAGGTGATCTAAATCGGATTGGAGTTTTGTACAGTTATCAGCATTTTGGACTCTTATATACAATTTTAGGTCGTCAGTAAATAATAGGAAAAATGCATGATGAAAACATGAAGCAATATCATTCACATAGACATTGAAGAGTAGGGATCCTAGGTGTGATCCTTGCGGAACACCACAATGCACATTAATTTCGGTGGGTTGAAAGTTCAGGACTTGCACAATCAGCACTCTTTCAGTAAGGTACGATGTTAACCATTCCAAAACTTTTTTGATTAAGATTTGATGCTTTATTCGATCAAATGCCTCTGACAAGTCCGTGTAAATGGCATGAACGTGAGACCCCTCCTCCAATGATTCCAGCAGAAAATCTGTAAATCTAAGCAAGTTTAGCTCATTGGAGCAATGGGAGAGAAATTTAAATTGTTGCTCGAGAAAGCAACCTTTCATTCCAGCAGATAAATAGTCGCAGACTAAACTTTCGAACACTTTAGGAATACAGCTCCGGATACTGATGGGCTATAATTGTTGACTTGCGAGTTATCGCCATATTTTAGGATAGGGGTAATGGAGCTTGATTTCTAGTTGGAAAAGTTACTGTTTTTAAAGATTGGTAAAGTGGTCTAGAAAGTATGAAGCTGCAATGCTTAAGAAGATATGGTGGGAGGCAATCGGGACCGGATCCTTTGTTTCTATGTAGAGTCGACAGTTTTCTCGTAAATAGATGAAATCAAAATGTTCAAGTGTGAGAGGCTGACATCTCCAGGGATACAGCATAGCGCATAAAATATTGGAAACCTTGAATGAAACCCCTGCTAGGCCATAGTGGAGGGCTACGAGGGAGGAGAATTTAGTATTTTAGTGCTCTATGGCCTCTACAGTGTCTTTAACAGTGCCAGTTATTCAGTTTTGTTGCAAAAAACTTGATCTTATCTTCCTGCATTTTTTTGCAATAATGAACTGTCAAGTTTACAAATGATAATCCCCGGAGACCCACAGTGCTATATTGTGGGTCCATTATTGTTTTTAGTTTATATTAATAATCTCGCCGACCATATGTCAGTCAGTCAATCGCCTAAAATTATATAACGATAAAACACACTCGTTAATGTTTTCAACAAATATAAAATATTTCCGAAGGGAAATCTACGAAGTTATTGCTAGATGAGTGTCAACGACGACTAAAAAAATTAATTAGAGATTATCTAGTCTCCAGCGACTAGTCTCTTTTTCATTCAATTTTGCGTCTGTTGTTATACAGACTACAGGAGAGCAGATAAATGAAATGCTACGGTGGTGTTGAACACAAATGAATATCAGAACAAAAATTCACGATATTCTTACAGACGTCGTCAACTTAAGAAAGATACTACGTCATCTATGGAAGGCAACCTTCAATCTGTCATGACTCTAAAGTCCCTCGCCTCTACGGACTTCCTAAGATTCACAAACCAGGATTACCCCTGCGATCTTCGATTTATTGTCGACAGAACCAAGAATTCCCAACAGTGTCAAATCATATGTGCTAGAAATGTTTCCAGAATTGGATAAGCACCATGAAATCCATTCCGGAGAACCTGAACGACCTGTTTCTGGACGATGTTATTTGTGCAATAGAAAGAAAAATCGCAAATTCAGGCAACAGTGTTGCTACTGTCAAATATCTACATGCACTGACCATAGTGTAAAACAGATAATTTGCAGATTATGTAAGATTATGATTTTAACATTTTTGAGAATTGTTTGTTTTGTTAAACAAATAAAAATCATTACACTAGATCCACTGCATATTCTAATTAGTTTCGACTTATATGTAGAATCCCTATTTACTAAACTGCATATTATTGAAACTCTCAATATTACATCTAAACTCTACACACGCCAACATATGTTCACCATTGAATTAAAAACTAATAACAGTAACATACTTTGATATTATTATCAATAGAAAATCAGGTCTAACCTTATGTCATTCTGTTTACAGAAATCCTACGCACACACACCGATATCTTAATGTATTGTCACATACCATCCGACTCACAAATCTCAGCCCGAGTCACTCAACCCTTAATTAAAACATCTTACAAGTGTTCTTCTATATGATAATTTTCGCATTAGAGATATTAAGCTTTCCATCACAAAATACACTTCACAACAACCTTCCAAAGACAATGAGTCTGAAAGCAACCTCACATTTGCCACTGTTGTGCTTCCTTACATTTGATACATCACTGACCACATATCAATTCTTAAGAAATATAAGGTCAAACCCAGATTGACCACTTGTCCAAAAATCTCTCAATATCTTCGAACCGTTAAAGACAAAATTCTTTTTGAGATACCAGGAGTTTACAGCATTCCATGCATATGCCGCAACTAATCAAAAATATCAACTAGGTTAAAAATTATGTAAGAACCTTAAGACTAAGCCGAATAAACTCATCAGCAGTTGACGAATACAAACACGAAACCGGACAAAATTTTATTCCATAAAACAACAATTCTTGTATGTAATCAATTCTTCTACCAACAAAAAATCCGAGAATCTATAGAAATCTGTAAGCAACCAAACAATCTTAACCGCTACTCATGCCTTTACTTGACACCAATATGGGAATCAGTCATTCGAGACAATGTTCATACCCCTCCTTAAACGCCCCCCCACCCCCCTCAAACAATAATTAAGCAGATACAGAGCAGAATGCGAGTCAGTTTCAGCTCTGAAGAAGCTAACAAGATGAGTGGAGAAACTTCATCAAGTTCGTTTCAACAACAACCGACAATCGATAAGTTTTGTAAATAGTAACCTTGTTTAGTGAAATGTAAAAATTACAAAACAAAGTAGTAAAAATTATTATATTAAAAGTAGAGTGAGTACTTATATATATATATTGAGAATGGAGTAAGTAAGTATGTAAACTTATACCTATAACACACAAAAATGTAATATCGACATAAGTTTTGTAAATCAGCTTCACGTAATGGTAATAATATAAAAATGCATTAAGTATGAACCAATGAAACACTGAATAATCCTATAAGACGAAGTATTAAAAAACGTAAATATTAACAGATTTAAAAAAATATATTAGAATATTATAGAGGGACCGACAACCTGAGTCGACTGAACTGGTACACTTATGAAAAATGTATTTGGATATTGTAAAAGTATGTTTAATGTAACTATGTATACTTGACGGTTTAAATGTTTTTTTGATGTTCCAATTTTCTTCCTATTACTAAATTCCGAGACCAGATAATTTTCCTGAAATTCACAATTACTGAAAATCAAGTTCGGCAAGGACATGTACGAGGTGTGTTCAAAAAGTAAGGTGACTTTTGGAATTTATATATATATATATATATATATATATATATATATATATATATATATATATATATATATATATATATATATATATATATATATATATATATATATATATATATATATATATATATATATATATATATATATATATATATATATATATATATTATATAGGATTCCAGTCGGAGTTCAACAAGCGAACGGATGATATCCCGGAATATAGTGTCATCATATATATATATATATATATATATATATATATATATATATATATATATATATATATATATATATATATATATATATATATATATATATATATATATATATATATATATATATATATATATATATATATATATATATATAGGCATAGGCCGTGATTCCTGCTATATCGTTTTCTGAAGCCTGAACAAACTTATAAAATCTGTCAAAATTTGCAGTCAGTGATCTGACATAAATACAAGGTGCCATCAATCAAATCAAAAAATCAAACAGTAAGATGCAATCATTTAACTTCGAGCTGAGATATTTTGAAAAACGCAATAAAAAAAAATCTTTTGCTTATTTGTTTGCTTTGTAATGAGTCAACTTCAGTAATGCAAGAATTCAATATAAAAGGAAAATGCGGAAACGGTTTTACGAGCTTAGAAATGAGATTTTATACAAATAAAAAGAAACACACGATCTCAGTTGAGTGACTCAAAATGCATTTCTGGTTGACCTCACAGACTATTTCAATCATTTAAATTTGAGCCTTCAAGAACAAGGACAGTTAGTAAATGATTTGCACAGCCATTTCAAAGTGTTTCAAAATAAAATGCGTTCATTTCATTTTGTTATTTTAATAACTTGGATTATAATAACAATGTCGCATTATTTCGTGTTTGATATGCATCCTTAAAAATTATGATCAATACTTTGAAACACTACCTTTAAACGCGGTCTGCGAACGTATTTATTTATTTATTTTTTACATTAAAGGCTGCTCATACCTTGTTTAAAGTATCTATGTTAACAGGTGAGTAATAAAACAGAGACAAAAGACTAAAGAAAATAAAAGTCAAATGATAACAGGAATGGAACGGTGGCAGTGATAATTTAAAAAATGTATTGTTTTTGACTAAAACCACTTTTTTATAATACTAATATCACTTTAAATTCGTAATATTTATTTTCTAAAAAAAACTTAACGATATCACTACGCAGTAATTGAAAACAGCATTTCTGTATCTCTTTAGTAAAAAAAAACTCGAAATAATGTCGCATCTTTGGGAATGTTTTCAGTATATCTTCTATTATTAAATTGTAATTTTCATTGGGAATGGGAATCTTAGTGGCTTAGGTTCAATTAAAAAAAAGTTGTCGGTTTTTAACAAAACCCTATATGAACTCCAGAAGAAATAAGTCAAGGAATCGTGCTGGCCAAGACATTTCACTGGAGGTTCCAATCCACTTCCCAGGAAATCGCTGCTGAAGCACCGTCTTGCTAAAACCAACAGCTATTGATCTGTGCCAGAGGTAAATGATCCAAACACTCTCGAAAATGAATTTGGCATAAATGCAATAATAGCAAAATGTTTTTGATGTCTCGGTATTTTCTTAACACACGAATTTGCCGTACCGTGCAGCACTATACTTTCATCACACCCTATTATTATTATTTCAGAATCCTCTGGTTTAAGCCTTTGGCAAATCTTACATTTATAGGGGTGATATATATTTTTACGCGCGCTGTGGATATGGCTACTCTTACATTATCCTCAATTTGCCCAGTTGAGATCTTAGGGTTCCTAACAACTGCTTGTAAAACATTATTTTGGGAATCCTCCAAAGATACCTTTTAATAACAACAATTACTCTGCAAACAACAACTACAATTACTATTTTATCTTGTTTTAAATAATATGTGACAAACTTGGTGACAGATATCTACGTCAAAGAGTTTGTCTCCAACACCTACTTAAAAATACTTAAAAAAATGATTCTACATCGTTGAATTTGTAATAAAAAATGACATCAGGTACAGGAAGTACTTTTTTTGGGGCCATATAAAAAATGAAGTTGACCATTATTTCATGAATACCAAAAGTCGGATATAAAATCTAAAAATACCTTAAAAGCGTCCATAAGAAAGTGTCATTAGTTTTTTGATATCTCTTCAAATAAGGTCAGAAAAAACTTTTTCCAAATTTAACCTAAGCTGTCTCCTCAACAGGTACTGCGATTCTCATTCTTAGGATGCTTATCTTTGACACACTGTATATATTTAATGTGAAGAAAGACGAAGACACCGATGTTATTTCGTCTGCGTCTAGAGTGGTAAATACAGGGTTTGTGGGGTATAGATCTGAAACACTAGTAAATGCAATGACGACCGCGAAATCTTACGAATAACAATGCGTCCATTCACTCCTTGCAAGTTTAAGATTTTCGAGACAATTACGTATGTGTTATAACGTAATTCAAAGAACGTTTGTCTAGTATTATCTTCAATAACAAACTTACCACCTTTGATTTCATTTTTCTTTACCAAAAAGAAAATCACTAAAGTAACAACTACGAGTAAACTGACGACTACAATACCAGCAATAACAGTTTTGTACTGACACAGTCTATTCATTTTACTAATGAAACCTTCCTATATTGCTGCTTGAACAAGTATTGTTGTGTAGTTATCGAGCAGGGCAGGACTGGCGCATTTTCAAAGCAAATGATCGCACACATGACACAATTAATTGTATACTAAAAACCAACTTAAGCCTAGAATTTGCATTTTGTGTTCGAATCGTTATCTTGGATTATTGAATTGTGTTATAAAACTGGGATCTCGAGCGGATTAAAGGTTTTATATTTGTATGGTCTAAATTACTTTTAAAATATAGAAAATTCCAAGAACGTCAATAGAATATCAGATTGCTGGATTATTATTCTGAATCTATTAAAGCTTCAGACGTCTCAGGGCTTAAAAAAACAAATTTTGCTTTTAAAAGTGTTATTTTGAATTTCCTATATTTTCCCTGCTCTGAAATTGTGAACCATTGCGAACACATCCGGCACTTTAGTAACGGGTGTTGGAGCTATCGTTCGTTATCGTTCGTATATCGTAGATTTTAGTCACGCGCCGCTAAGTGAATGCTTACAGTGGTGCTGTTTTGCTAAAATGGATAAAAGCAATAATCGTAGTAAAATTATACCCAATAATACGTTTTCCTTTTTAGTATTTTACTACCACTAACTCTTAATAGATTGATAGTGATCACAGTGTTGTTCCCGAAAACTCAAGAAAATGTTTTCCTTTTTTTCGATTATCTTAGTGCTATTCAACATCCAGTGTTCTGTATGTCCTTCACAAAATTTATAAATGCTGTCTCATTACTTAAGTTACTGGTACAGGCGGAAGGAGATTGTGAAAAATTTATAGCTAATCAAAGGTATGGGAGGAAGAATTTATATATCATACAATAACTTTATTCAAATTTATAATTTCAGGTATCCAGGTATTGAGAATAGATTAGCAATTTCAATTAGTTTCCTTTAAATTAGAAAGCCAGAAAAGTAATTTTTTCTACGATTTGCCCTAAAATATTTACTTATTGCAGTAGTTTAAAAAATGCTTCGAGATTTCATTTATCTCCAATATCTTTACGGCAGACATTGTTATCTTGGACACACTGTATAGTGGCATTATTTGCTTGATCGGTTTGTTAGTTTATGATATTTTGGGTGTGTGCTATATTGTACCGTTTAAAATTTACGATTTTAAGTACAAAAGTGCGTGAATTAAACTCTATGTTCTTTAAATTGTAGCAATTTATAGTGCGCAATATGTAAATATTCGTTCTTCTATAACTCAGCCAAAAGTACAAATGCGCTTCCAAAAAAGGACTAAAATTGTGATTTTCTTGTTGTTGGGGATTACCAAACGCTCCGGCAACGTCGCCAACAACTCACACCGCAGCACATAGCTGTGAATCAACTGCTTTTATTTTTACATGATGACGTGCTGTGCTCGAAGAAGTGTATGTCCATATATGCTCAGAATATATTTCTGTATGTCAATAAATATGTGCCCTAATTTTAAGCAAACAAAATAACAAAACTAAGCTAATTAAAATGTTATACATTAAAAAAACTCAACATTTGTCGTGGAAACCATAATAACGGCCTCTTAATACACTATTTTTCTTTCATTAACGTGAAAGTTTAAATATCGTGCAAAGAAAATCAGACATCGGACATGTATATTCGAAACGAAGCAATATAGGAGATACTTTTTACAAAACTTCTGGATTCCTCCTGCGTCGGTTTTTGCTTAGTCGAAATTGCTGTCGCTTCGCCAATCATCCTGTTGGCTTCTTCAGAGCTTGACTGAAACTGAAAACTGAATCCAGAAGTTTTGTAAAAAGGATTACAGTAGCCTGTGGAAGTTTCTTTGAAAAATATAGGAGATACGTTCATACCCAGCAAATTGTGCTGTACTTTGTTAAGCTGATGTGTTGGATTGTCACAGCAAACAATAAGCAAAAGAGCATATTTATTTCGATGCCCCAAAGATAAGATTAGATAGGATAGCTGGTAAAAAATTTCTCGTTTATTTAGGTACAATGCAAACTTGGCGTTCGAATCATATTGCGATCGCGTAATAATAATTTGGGACTTACACCTTCTGTAAAAAAATGTTTGTTGCGATCTTCTTTTAATATATGTTAAGGCTTTAAAGAGCTAGAAACAACATTGCTGAGCAAAATTGTACTGGATAAAATTGAAACTGTATATTAAAAAGATTTGTTTTTTCAATAATTTTTTTTTTTTGAAATTGGTATCTCAGGCAGACATTTGGAGAATTAGTTTTAAAATAGAAAAAATTCTACAAATGCCAATAAAATATCAGATTGCCGGATTGTTAATATGAATTTGTTAAAAATTGAGACTGCTCGGCAAATTTGCTTTTAAAAATTATATACGATATTGCCCTACTATTAATATGCAAATTGTGCAGTAATAAGGATTACACAAGGTGTCTCTTGAGGTACTTTAGTTGTTTACTGTAGATTTTAGCCGCGGTCACGTGACGCACCACTAAGTGAAAATGGGTAAAATTGCGCTTGCAATCTTCTAGCATAATATTTTATTTTGCTATATAACGGTGGTGGTACTGTTTAACAAGCTTATCGTAAAAATGATTTTTGTTAAGTTATTTTCTTTTCAGTCTAATAAGAGCTTTTTCAATTTAGGAAAACAAAACATTTAAAAAAGTGACTATTGTGTTCGTAACTTTGAAGTGCTTATAAGTTTTCCTTTTTAGTATTTTACTACCACTGGCTCTTAATGGAGGTAGAGATTTATAGAGGTTACAGTAATGATACGATTTACCTTAGTATCTGAGTTCCATTTAGTATCCAGTTTTCTGTATGTTTTTCACAAGATTTCAAAATCTTATCTCGTGAAAGCTTGGAAGTACTTAAGTTATGGTTTCTGGAGGAGAGGTACTGGAAAAAAATTCTACCCAAATGTATACAAATCCACAATAAAATAACTTGGTAAAGATTTTAAGTCACTCGTTTATTTATTAAACACTCGCTCTGCTCGTGCCAAATAAACTCGTGACTCAAATGCCGTTTACCACACTTGTTGCATAATACGCTATTTTTTATGATTATGCATAAAATATTTACTTCTTCTGCAGTAGTTTGAAATTTTTTTTCTTAAAATTTCATCATTTTGTTGTAAAGCTGTTAACTTTAATTGCAGAAAAACGTGTAAAGAAATTTTAGTCCGATATTCACTTATTAGATTACTTTATGTCGCCTTTCAATTATTGGGATTTAGGCAAGTGCCAAGTGTACTTTAAAAATATATATTTTCAAAGTCACTTCCGGTTCAACCGAAAGTGTCTGTCAACTTGCTCATTTAAAATGGAACCCCCAGTGTATTATTCTGTGTGAAATTATAAACATATTTAATGTGAAACGTCCTATACCTATGTCTATCCGTTTTCGAAATATTTGACCTTGGAAAAAAAATTGCACCTCCGGCTTAACCGGCTTTGAACGTGCATATTTTTGTAATTTCTGAGAATTTGAGATCTGGCAGAATATTAAAAAAGAGGCTTAAGTCGACGTTCTCGCTATTGTCGTTATCTACTTTGATACAGGGTATCCAAAATTATGCTGCAAACCTTCACATTTTCAAAGTGGCTCGGTTTTTTCGAATGGAACTTTAAATGTTATCAAGTGCCTGACTTATTTCTCTATCAAACTGCCTTAGGGTAGGTTACCTTTTACCAGGGGGATCAACTCGTATCTCTTTAAATATTGATTTTCGTCCTTCTTTTTGTCAATATCTATGTATTGTGTATTGTAAATTGTTGCAAATTATATAATATAATAATATCCTTTATGACCAAAAATCCAAACAGATGTTTATTCTAAATTAAGTAGGTTTTACCTGAGATGGATTGTTACGAATACTTGTAGAAACTTGAAATTTTTATTTGAAACGTAATTGGACCGTTTTAAATTTGATGAAACATTGATGCTGCGGGGTATTTTCGAATAAGTAGAAGGTGATATGTATCGTTCTTAAGAGTTTAATCTAAATTGCAATATGTGATCCTTGAAGTATGTACGTATTTATGTACCTGATTCTCAAGCTTTGACCTTTCGAAGCTGTTTTCACTGGATAGTTCAAAAGGTAATGGTAAGTAAGTAAAGTCTGTTCATAGATATAAGAACGTGACAAACTGTTACGGATTAAGGAAAGACCCGGGCAAGCTGTGAGAATGAAATATGGCCGAACAGGTCCGTACTTTGCTTAGAATTTAATTATTTGGGGTTTTGTTAGGAAAGATACTAAACAATATTTATTTATTTATGCATGTATTTATGTTTAAATCTAAAATAAAGTTACAAATTATTTTTATTACCTACTTAAATTATTTAAAATTATTCACATAATATATCAGTATCACTGTCGTTATCATCGCCGGTTCTAATTATTATTGGTTCTATATTATTTGCAATATGGATGTACGATTGTTCTGCTTTTTCTACATGTTTAACCGAATTTGCCCAACTTTGTGAAGGGATGTTAAAAACTTCGGTTTCTATAAGTTTGAAGACATTGGAGTTAACACTGTTATGACATTGTTATGACGAATGGCAGATTTCAGTTGGTGCCAAACATGTTCAATGGGATTAAATGTACAGTGGTAAGTGGTAGAACTGTATGCCCTAGATTTTTTACATAATTATCATAGGCGTATTCCTTTTGTAGGTTCAAGCTTTGTAGAACCTCAATTAATTGCTTTTTGGTATAATAGTCGTGAAAATAAATGTCGTTATTGTACTTGTAGTTTTGAATTGTTGCTTTTGTGTCACATGAGGAAGGGGTTTTAGTCAACTGTCTGCTGTGATAACTTGCATTGTCCATTACAATGACGCTTTTAGGAGGAATGTTTGGAACTAGTTTGTTTTTAAACCAACTTTAAAATAAATCAGCGATGGTGTCTTCGTGGTAATCCAGCGAAGAATCTTTAATATTTTTCGCAGACAGAGAAAATCCATTTGTAATCCAACCATCTTTAGAGCCAGTATGCCAAATAGTAATTCTTTTACCTCTTTTTGATGGCGCGTTTGTTGTACACTTATCAGTTGAGTCAACCCAACCCTTTTCCGATAATTGGCCTTTGTTGTTTTCTGTAAATCCTAATTTTGCTAGATATTCCAGCCGCCATTTCTGAATTCTAAAACATTCCATTAAAACTTGCCTTTTGTCAATTTTTTAAAATTTAAAACCCATGTGTTGAATACACTTCCATAAGGTAGTTCTGTCACATTTAACAGCGGTTTCATCTTTTTCAAGCCTTCGAATTAAGATATCTCATGTACGCACGCTTTGTTCCTCGTACAACTGGTAAATTTTAATTCCTATTATATCTTGATCACTTTCATCTACACTCGAGAAAATGTCAGCATCGCTTCTTTTTTTCCTCGCTGAAATGGGATTATTCACAATTTTCGATACAGTTGATGTTGGAATTTTCGTCAATGTGGCCGTTTCTTGTAAAGATGCTTTCAATGAGAGTCAAATAAACATTGTTTATAACTTCCTTAGTCGCAATAGAATAGTGTTTTCTACATTTGGGCGGGAGCATCTGCTGAAATACACTAGACTCGCACATATTTTGCATAATTTGCACACGATTCAACACACACTGTATTACACACGAAATAAGAATGATTACTAATAAACTTAAACTAAGTAACTTTAGGTAATAATCTTGTTGCATTGTATGTTAATGACCACCCTTGGATAATCCCATTCAAAAGCAATTGGTCACTTTCTTATATCTAGGAACAGACCATACCTGCACTCTATTTATCTTACAGGTAAGTTTGAAAATAATCATTTTTGTCTTGTGTGCCTGTCGATTAACAACATTCTTCTTGTATTTTTGGGTCTACATAGTTCTTCGATTTGTAAATTGCAACGGACTATAGCTTATATTCGCGATAGATAAAGGTACGCCATAAGAATACTGATCAATATTCATTGGTATCTTACAATTAAACGTTTTTTGAAGGCTACTGTTTTTTAACACATTAAAATGTGGACACCGAGGAATAACGCAGATGTTCCCCAGTTAAAAGAAGGCAACAACGAAGAACTTGAAGACGAAGAGGAGATGGTAGTCGAACCTAATGACAATTTGGAAGACGAACTACCTCAGCAAATAAAAAAAAACGGATCCACTTGTCTTCGGATGCTAAACAAATCGTTTTAAATGTTTACAATTTTATAAGAAATTCAGAAGGGGAAGTAGGAGCAGCAATAAAAACAAGATTGCTTTCGAAAAATCATCACTGGGCGGGGAAAGTTCGTTGCGCGAAGCAGCTTTTAATTATAAAAGGAGAGAACTTCGCGATTTCGTGTGGTAAAGGGACGCATTGTTTTTCTATCGGTGCAATTTAATTGTGCATGCACCCTGTATAAAATGTCCTTCACATCTCGTCCAACTTCAAAGTTACAGCAAACTTTGGTAAATATCAAAACTTGCACAAATAATGGCGTTGTCGAATGATATTTTTTCAAATATCTCGCGCCCTGTATAATTGACGAAACCTGCAACTCTCACGATAGGGTTTACGATATTGTACAAATAAAATTATCCCATCTTTAACGGTTTTTTATTTATCGCCAATAATTTTGCCACAAAAACGGAAATTTTTAGGATATTTTAGATTTTTTGCCCATAAACGACGCACCATGATGCAATTGTTCGAAGTAGAGGTTATAGCCCTCGATTTTCCACGCGTCCTGGTTCAAGAATGTTTTGAAAATAGTAAATGGTTTTCGAGAAAATAAGTTACAGTGCGCTGTAATAATTAATGACGTCATGGCGTCTTGACAGCCCTCGAAATATGGATTTTTTCAAATATCTCGAGCAGCGTATGTGATAGACGAAAACTGCAAACACAAAAATTGTAGCTCTTGAGACCGTTTAAACCAAGTAGCCATACTTTTTACGATTTTTAATTTGCGGCTAATAATTTACTCTGTAAAGAAACAATTTTCTAAGTCTTTTAGATTTTTGCCTATAATTTGAAAACTCTGTATATAATTGAAAAAATGCCTGAAATAAATATTATTGCACCGAATCTTCTACGTCTGCCGGTTAAAGAATTTTGCCAATCGGATGAACGATTATGGAGGAAAACATTTTTCTGGTAGCTAAAATTACCAAAAAAAAATCAAATATATTTGAAAAATACTTGGAAATATTTGACTGCGACCAATTTCTACAGTTTAAATATGGACACGGACTTTTACTTCTCTGCTTACTTTGAAGTTGATATCTGCAAATTTAGGACACTTAACACATTTCTCATTTAGCATGGAATATCGGGAACACCATGTACAATAGGTTAAAATCTTAAATAAAAAAATGTTTGCTATCTATGCGGGCTATATCGCAATACAAAGTGAGATCTGAATCATAGTCTTTCAGTTATAACTAATTTTCAATAATAGGGGGATCCATTTTTCAGTTTTTTTGAATTTGCGGCGCACCCTGTATATTTTTGAAAAATTGTCACGAATAAAAGTTTATAGAGCTGTATCTTTTGCTTCGTCTGGTTTAAGATTTTTTTTGGTCTCGTAAACAGTTTTTGAAAAATGATGTTTTTTGTAGACCCTTACACGCGCGACTTTTTATTTTTTTAGAATACTTACGGACCCCCCCCCCATTTTCAATAGGTTCCGTCACAGGACAAAGCTGCATATATGTGGCAAATAGAAGTCGATTGCTTCAAATTTCAGACACTTATCGTGTTTCATAGCAATTTATAAAAATAGTCGAAAAGACTGATACCGGCGTCGGATCAGGGCCATTTCTTACGAGCTTATGTGCCTCGTGGAGGGTGAAAAAGGAGACAAATTTCAATTTTGTAGCTCCAACGGTCCGAAAGTTATTCAGGAAAACCCAAAAGACGAAAACGGAGAACGGACAAACAGACAAAAAAAAATTCTTTTCGACTGTGATCGTTTCAATACCATAGGACCTACCGTTACCGAGATATAAAATTTTTATACGAGCGCAGATACTTTCGAAAATTCGATTTCATCGATTTTCGCAAGTAACAAGTGACATGAACAAAGTTTCGAAGTCAACTGTAATCCTTCATGCTAAGTCCAAAAATGGTTAGTTGGCGAAAATGTCTTATTTTTGTCTGCCAAAACGTCAAAGATTCAACTATGGATTACCGTGAAAACATGACCGCGGAAATATTTGAGGACTAGTTTGAAAATAAACTGTTGCCAAAACTATCGCCACATATTGGCGGATAATGCCTCGTATCATTAAGCCCAAATTGGAAAAATTACAAATACTTCTTCAAATAAAGAAGAAATTAAAGAATTTCAAGGAAAAGTTAATTCACGGGGTCGGTTGTAAAAGCACTATATTTTTAGTTGAAGTATACTATATTTATTTCTTGTTGGGATTGTCGGAAGTGACCTCCAAGAATATTTTTTTTTTCGCTCTCACGAGACTGTTATTACCACTTGTTGGAAACGTCAGCAATTAAACAAATTTTGGCCGATATCAAGTATTTACTTTGTTTGCGACAAGGAATGAAATGGTCCATCATTCATAACTATTGTTATACCGAATGGTAAACTAGAACAAAAGCCCATTGATATCGATGTTGGGCAGGAACGTTACGATTCTCCTGAAAGCTGTCACAGTGCACGCGAATGAAAATCCCCTGGACTGATCATTTTTTTTCCAATTCAGCCAGGTCAACAAGTCCGATCTGTCATCGCAGAACTCGTTGACGTTTGCCCTCGAAATGTACGGATTATTTACTCCGATTAATGCTACGCCCCTTCGGCTCACCGGATTGTAAACCACTTTCCAGAATAAGTCCGGCACTGGGAGCGCCCTATTGTTGTTAACGGTGTACAGGTATAGCGGAATTTGTCTTCCGTTGGTTTCGTGTGGTAAGGCGGTTACTCCGAATCCTCCAGTCCACACTTGGAGGCGAACGTTGTTATTAGCCGCGTAATCTTGAACGTCCGATTCTGCTTGATCCCAGTTGAAACCGTTAAACGACTGCCATTGCGGCAACGCGTTCAAAAAATCGAACGTCGAGTTCTGCTGGGCGGCGTAGAAAAAGTCACTTCTTGCCACCAGGTGACCCCTTGACAAGAAGAAGTTATTGTCTTGTATGTATTTGGTTGACGTGGCGGACAGTCCAAGCAGTGAATTAATCGTAGCTCTTTGAGTGCCTCGTACGTAGTAGGTGTTCACGTTGGGTATCGTGAAGGTACCGCTAGTTTGCCTCCAATCTGGACGCGGCACTCCTTTAATTTGGTTGTTGATCGCAGGGTGTAAGTCGTAATACGTATACAGAGCGGCTTGTGATGTCGTATTGAAGCACACCGTAATAGTTCTCACAAACCTTCCGCCGGATAAATCGAATCCGATCTCAGCGACCCTGCCCCCCGCCTCGCAGCTGGCTCCGGTAAATCGGGAGGTGGAGACTGGGTTCGTGTTGCAGGTGAGCTGATGCCACAACCATCTCGCTCCGTTAATCGTAAACCTTACTCCGGATACACAAGTCGCGGTGGCCACAACATTGGTGGTTTGAGTGCCCGACGTTACGAGTCTACCACCCGGGCAGGCAAAGGTGACAGTTTCACCTGACGCGAATTTTATTGTGGAATCCTCAGCGTTCGCTGGGTACAAGAATTGGTCATTTCGGAGGATGAGCGGAGTAGGTTGGGATCCGAACGGAGTTATCTCGCAGCCTATAAATGAAAATGTTATTGAGGTGCGGATAAAACAGCTGCGTGCTACTCTTCCATGAATTACGTTAAACGATGTGGAATTTGAGGCATTTTTACCCTGTTTTTATATGTGGAGATCAAATCTCAACATCAATTATAGACCAGAAATTATAATAACATTAAATCTGCATATTGACAAACTAGTTAATGATTGTAGTAGAACTCCTGGATTCATAAAAAGACATTAGACTTTATCCTAAGTTCTACGATCAGAGCACTTCTTATCTTACAATGCAGCTTGCGATTTTCATTTTAATAATAATAAAAAATATAGTATGAATCTAAATATAGTCACTGTATAATTAGTATTTAAATTATCAACTGACTACTGGATTTTACAAAAGCCTTTGATACTGTCAATCACAGACTGTTGATTGCCTAGTGTCGGTATATGGGATTTGATGACAAAACGTGAAGCTTTTTTGAGTTGTATCTATATAACAGGCGTCAAAAAATTCTGTTGCAGGACCGGATATCAACTACTCTAGATATTCCATCAGGGGTACCACAGGGTTCAGTATTAAGTCCATTATTGTTTTTGATTTATACAGCAGATTTGGGTGGTGTAGTTGCACAGTGCCAAGTACAATTTTTTGCCGATGATACGCAATTGTTTCATAATTTCGAAAGCGACCGTTGTGAGGAGGCAGTGAACAGCATAAATAAGGATTTGAAAAACATAGTCACCTTTGCGGAGGGTCATAATTTACGTTTAAATCCATCAAAGTGTAGTGTCATCACTTTTGCCCGTAAGAGGAAAAGAAACAGTTTGAAGTCCAAAATGAAATTACATTTTGACAACAATCTTATTCAAGTTGCAGAATTTGATAAAAATTTGGATCTATATATTGACGAGAATATGAAATTCTTGAATCATGTTAAGCACATCTCCAAACAATGTTATATGAGTATAAAATTATTATATTCAAATAGAGATATATTGGCGTACGATATGAAACTACAGTTGTGTCAAAGTCTTATCCTCTCTCGCTAGTCTTATTGTAACATTGTGAATTATCCCCGTTTGGACGCTGTTACATCTTATCGTCTACAAAAAATCCAAAAAACTTTTTGTCGCTTTATTTTTAACCTACGCAAGTTTGACCACATATCCGCCGCTCTCAAAAGATTGAATTGGTTAAAAATCAAAGATGTTTTCAAATACAACTTTTTATGCTGTTTGAAACGTGTAATAAATTCCAACATTCCAAAATATTTGAATGAAAAATTAGTATTTAGGAAATCTATTCATGTCTTGAATCTAAGACACCAATCATCACTCACTATGCCATTGAACAAAACAAAAAAAATTCAATGTTATTTTACATATAAGGAAGCTCGTTCATCTCCTTAAATAGCGGCCTCAAATCAAAGTTCATGTAAACATTTTAAAAACATTTAAAAAATAGTTACTAAAGTTAATGTAAAATAATGCGTTTGAATACATGTATTTCATTCATTCTATTTTGTAGTTTCATACATACTTGTAATTTAATTTAATGCCAGACTTCGCCCATGTAATGCTAATAAAGACTATTTATTATTATTATTATTATTACTTTCGAAAGTCATTTGACAGAGTCAGTCATGAGCGTTTCAACGAAACTTTCACAGGCTACTATAATACTTTTTTCTACAAAACTTCCGGATTTCTCCTGCGTCGATTTTTGCAGAGTCGAACTGAACTTGCTGACATTTCGCCAATCGCCCTGTTGGCTTCTTCAGAGGTTGACTGAAACTGGCTAGCATTTTACTCTGTACCTGCTTAGATATTGTTTGAGGGGGCGAAGCTACACATCACCACAACTTTCCAATAGCAATGAGGTCCAAAGCAATCTTACACTTGGCACTGTGATCCTTCTTTACATTCAAAATATCACTGACCATATATCAAAAGTTCTAAAGAAGTATAATGTCAAAACCAGATTTACCACTTGTCATCTTTGGTCCGTCAAAGATAAAATTCCATTTGAGATATTTACAGCAGAAGTTTACAGCATTCCATGCATATGCGGCAAAGAATACATTGGAGAAACCGAACGAAAAATATCAACTAGGTCCAAAGACCACGAAAAAGCCTTACGACTAAGACAAATAAACTCATCAGCTCACAATCACGAAACCGGACATAAAATTTCATTCAATAAAACTAAAATTCTTCCATGTAATCAATTCTTCTAACAACGAAAAATCGCCTCCGCCTCCCGAAAACAATGTATAACCAGGTACAGAGTAAAATGCGAGCCAGTTTCAGTCAAGCTCTGAAGAAGCCAACAGGATGATTGGCGAAACGTCAGCAGAAGTTTTGTAGAAAAAAAAAGTATGAGAGTTTTGTTTTTAAATTTCAAGCCAATCAAGAGAGATTTTTCCATCGCCGTTTAACTGAACGTATAAAATAGGTCCAAATCAATTACTCCAGACAAATCGTAGTGTAATTAAAGTTAAGGACCAGTTTATTATTTATAAGAGGATGAGACCTTCGTATCTTCATTTTGCAGACAATCTGAAATTTTAAACAAGTGAATCGGTTTCTACCCAACCCAACTTCTTCAGAGTGGCATTAATGATGACGTTATTTTTTCAAAGAAACTTTCGCAGGTTACCGTAATCATATTTACAAATTTCCTGGATTTCTGCTGAGTCGGTGGCTGATAACTTAAACTTGCTGATGTTTAGCCCATCATCATGTTGGTTTCTTAGTAGCCTAACTAAAACTGGTTTGTATCTGTACCCGTTTAAGAAGGTACATAAGCATTGTTTCAGATGAGTGAGTTGAAAGGTATGACGTACGTTAGGGTGTGTAGAGTTTAAATGGTTAAGATAATCTCAATGGGATTCTAGACGATGCACACAGGCGAATTTTCCTCAAAAGCTGTCCAGAAACTCCAACTTAAAAATCTTGAGCTTAATCCATTACGTTTCAGTAATCTAGTTACCTGGCTATTATAAATAAACCAACTTTTGTTTTGATTCGCGTTGCTACGCGCCATATTGTTATTGAAACTTGAAAGTTAATTTAGTTTAATGAGAGTGCATCAGTGTGTATTTAACCATTTTTTCAAAAGTTGGTGAAAAATAATAAAATTATAGTATGGAGCCTATTGCTAGTGGTAAGTACAAGCATATAATTATTATTATCTATGCAATTATTATCATCTATGAATTGTTTTAATGTCACAATGGCGTCACTTCTTAAAATACATAAATGTTTCGTTTTCTTTGGACAAACAGTACATTTCCCCGCATTTCCCCATCTCCAAATTAGCATAGAACTCTTATTTAATATGTCCTTAAAAAGACATATTTTCTTATTTATGCGATAATTTGCGATCTTAATGGGTATCTATTTTTTAAGAAGTGCTGTCAGTGCTGGTATATATTTTTAATTTTGGTAAAATTTACTATTGTAGGGTTTTTGAACATGCAAAATTCAAAAATGCTAATGGAAATGTTGCCAGATTTACAGTATTTACGTGACACGTCGGCATTTTGTTATTTTAATGCCATTATTGTTGCATGAATTGCGCATGTCCAATTTAGTAAGGTCTGGTAATTTTAAAATTTTGTTTTTATTATTAAGCTTCGGGTTTCTGTACTTGAGGGTACCTGTTTCGGTTTCCTTCTTTTTTTTGGTAGGCTCATATAATGATACAAATTCAATAAATAATTATTGACCTTATCTTTTTTTTGTTGTTGTTATTGGGATTAATTAAGTTCTTAAAGAAGAAAATTCTAGACAAGGAGCTCTAATGCCCATACTTATAGTCGCAACTCAAACTTAAGTCGAACTTGGCCAAGTTTATACCTACTTAAAACTTAAGATTCCGACTATACTATAGTCGAATGTGTAATATACTTTCAGCTAAGAAAAGCTTGAGCAAAAGCTTTTTATGTTACATTTGCTTTTTTAGTGGAAATCTTACATTTTAAGTCGTGCTCAAGCACGAGTGTGACATAACTCACGACTATAAGTACGGGCATAAGACAGCTTGCAGTAGTTACAATAAATCTAGCTAGGTTTCAGTGACAAAGTCAGAAATTGCCAACCCCCAATCTAATCTAAATCTTTATTTTTATTGCAATTAATTTTTAGATACTAATTCCCTAGTTTCATGTTTAAACTTGCATACCAATATGTTCACAAATGAAATAATATGAAATACTGGGACAAAAATTCAGAAATATTTATATCCTAGACTATTAAGTGTTTTTTGACTAATGGACGACATATAGCATACCTGACAGTCTAAAACCTGTGTTTGCCCTGTGTCATTTTAAAAATTTGTGACACAGAAAGTTATTAGGTATCTAATCAGATTTTTCAGGAATTATCAGATATGCTTTTGTACTAGATTTTCATAGACGCAACTGTACAAATTTCAATAGTCCATAAAAAGACTTGTCATAAAAAGTTCTGCTTGTTTATTGTCCTAAATATAGATTATAATTGCGAAATTCTTAATACTCAAAGTACTCAAATATCAATATCTCATCTTCGTTTTTACCCCTTATCCCTAAAATATTTATGATTATTTTTTGTAATATTGTTTTTGTAATTACATATACATTATCATAATTCAAGGTTAAAATTAGTACTGTTTTATGTTTTTCTTCAATAATACACATTGTTGGTGTTGTTAAAATAAGTTTTAATAACTGTCACTGAAAAATAAATGAATTACGTAAAAATGTGAACAAGTAAGAAACTAAATTAAAAATGTTCTAAAGTCATTCTAAAAAAAATTATTCGTCAGTATTTAATTTAGGTACGACTTTTCGACCACATTGTATATTTTTACGTGTAGCGGAATAATAGTGTAAAGTACTGTATTATGATTAAAATTTATACTTTTCTTAAATAAATTCATTATTCATCTTTTTTAGATATTTTTTTAAGATAAATAATATTGGCCAGCATTTTGATCAAACTTACCTGTGTGGGATGAGGCCAAATAACAGAG